CAGCAAAGCAGCACCTCCCTGGCCTGCTGGCACCTCCTGCCTGAACCCTGAAATTCATCACTGGCAGCATCTCCAGCTTCATCCCAGCCTGCATCCCATCCTTCATCCCAGCCTGCATCCCATCCTTCATCCCAACCTTCATCCCAATCCTCATCCCTGCCTTCATCACAAACTTCATCCCTTCCTTCATCCCAAACTTTATCTCAACCTTCATCCCAGCCTGCATCCCTGCCTTCATCACAAACTTCATCCCAAACTTCATCCCAAACTTCATCCCTTCCTTCATCCCAAATTTTATCTCAACCTTCGTCCCAGCCTTCATCCCTGCCTTCATCCCAGCCTTCATCCCAAACTTTATCCCATTCTTCATCCCGACCCTCATCCCAACTTTCATCCCAACCTTCATCCCTTCCTTCATCCCAACCCTCATCCCAACCCTCATCCCTTCCTTCATCCCACCTTCATCCCAACCCTCATCCCAACCCTCATCCCAACCTCCATCCCAATCCTCATCCCAACCTTCATCCCAACCTCCATCCCAGCCTTCATCCCATTCTTCATCCCAACCCTCATCCCAACCTCCATCCCAATCCTCATCCCAGCCTTCATCCCATTCTTCATCCCGACCCTCATCCCAACTTTCATCCCAAACTTTATCCCAGCCTTCATCCCAATCCTCATCTCTTCCTTCATCCCAACCCTCATCCCAACCCTCATCCCTGCCTCCATCCCTGCCTGTCCCTCCTCCCCCCGTTCCCCCCGTGGCTCCGGAAGCCCTCTCCCAGCTTCCATTGATTTATTCCCGAGCCAGATTTATTCCAGGCAGCTGCAAATCTGCTGCTGTCAGGCACGGAATGCTCCGCTCCAGCTTTTTCCCGGAATTTTTGTTGCTGTTTCCCTGTCTCAGAGCAGGACAGGCTGAAGTCCAAGATTTTGGACACTTCATTTTTTTGGGATCCTCAGCTCCGGCTGTGCCCTGGGGCTCAACCCTGCCAGGAAAGGCCGGGAGAGGAAGGGGTTAAACCACAAGGCAGCTTTTCCCTGGTTCAGGGTGGGAAATGGATCCCTTTTTTCCTGGGATTTATGATCCATCTGCATCAATCCACACTTTCCCGGCCCGAGTGGAAAAGCGCATCCGGAATCGACGGGATGTTGGAACCGGGGATGGGGAATGGAGCGACTCCTTAAACCGCAGAATTATTTCCCTAAATTCCCCTGATTTTGCCAGCTATTCCCGATTTTTCCAGCAGTTCCCAGCTTTCCATGCCCTCGGCACCAGGTGGTGTTGAGCGGCTCCATCCGAATCCCATTCCCAGAGCATTGGCCACGGAGTTACGGAACAATTCGGGTTGGGAAGCGGCTTAAAAATCACCTCCTCCCACCCCTCTCCTGCTGGATTTTCCCTTCCCAGGGTAGGATTTACCCCCAAATCCTACAGCAAACATTTCCAGTGGGCTCTCATCCCATTCCCATTCCCATTCCTGTTCCCATCCCCATTCCCAGTCCCATTCCCATTCCCATTCCTGTTCCCATCCCCATTCCCATCCCCATTCCCATTCCCATTCCCATTCCCATTCCCATTCCCATTCCTCTCCTTACCCTTTAAATTCCCATTTAATGCCTTCTCCCACCTGGATTTTAAATTATCCCGGCAGATTTGCCACAGTTTTTCCCTGGATATTTTATTTCCCCCTGCTCTGCCCATAATTAAAATTAACATTTCTCTCCCTTTCCCATTCCTGAGCTCAAATCCACGGGATTTTTTGCCAGGCTGGAAAATTGACTTTCATGGAATGTTCCTTTTCATCTCTGAAGTTCCAAACTCCCTCCAATATTTGTTGGTTTTTTTGTGTTTTTTTTTTTTTTAAAAACCCAGATAAAACAGCAAAGCCTGGGAATTCTCAAATCCCTTTTCCTTATTCCTCTGGAATAGCAAAGTGAGTTTCAAACATTCCAGGCAGAGCTGGATCCCAATGTCATTTAAAGGTTGGCACCTGAGCTTTCCAGGATTTCTGGATCCCTGTTTTTATTTACTGCCTGCGGGGGAAATGAAGGAAAAGAAAGGGAGGGAAAAAGGGGGGGGAAAAAATAGGATTTTGTAGGATTTTGGGGTGTTTTGGTGGGGAGTGAGCTGCAACAAAGCCCAAAAATCCCGGCTGGGTTTGGCTGGAGCACCCAGACACCCACAACATTCCCACTGATTCGGGAATAAAGGAGATAATTCCCAAATCCAGATTTGGGAATCATCTTTCCTTCACCTATAAAACTCCTCAGCAGCTTATCAGACCTGAGCCAACCCAAGCTGGATTTTATTTCTTCTTCTTTTTTTTTTTTTAGAGCTGCTGCTTATTTAAAAAAAAAGAAATTCTTTAAATCCCTGTGATATTAGGGGAAAAATCCTATTTATTTCCCGGGAAGCAGCACTCCGTGCCTGGAAGTGCCCCTGTTGCATCTCCAAATCTAAATTGTGGTGG